TGGTGGCTGACTAAATACTTTTTTGCCCCACTGTAGCTTCCATCTCAACTGCCAAAGGACAGAGGAGGAGATTCATTTAATCAACATATGCAACAGACTGAGAACCTGACTGAATGGCTGCCTGGTGAAGAGAAACACCGGTTGGAAGACTGAGATTCAGCGCTAAGACAATGTTGCCTTAGGAAGTAACACTACTCCCCAATTTGATTTCCTATAGTTAGTTAATACCCTTTATTATTAATTGTAGATTCTGAAGACTGGTTAAGAGAGAAGAATAGAGATATCCCCTTCCCTTCTCTATTTTTGATATTCTTTAATCAAATGTCTGCATCTCCTTTTGTGCATCCCTGTAAACCAATCTCTAGACATTATATCTTAACAAGATTTACAAATGATAGGAAACTTAGTGTGACTTTACACAGGTAAATTAAATGGAAATACAACATAGGAAGACTGAATGCATAAAAACGTTAAACTGCATTATGTAGAGTCCAACCATTTGTCTACCTAGTTCATACATCACACCAAATGCCAGTTTGTTTAACCATAGTTACTGATTATAAGACAGCTGGCTAGGTTTGCATAACATATTAAATAATAAACTATGATTTAAATTCATGATGACTAGATTCACATAATATGTTAAGACACAACCAAGCAACACACATTATAGCTAATTTTGTGAATTAGCTCTCTGGTTGGTGTTTGCTCCCTAAGAAAAAATTCTGCCAAATATCTTCCCAAGACAATTTCACATGGTACGTCAGGTCTGAGATATTGTCCAGGAAAAACATGTACACTAAGGCCATCCCAATTCTTAAAAAACAACTAGAGAAATAGGAAAGGCAAAAGGTGAAAAAAAAAAGGCAATTACTTTAAACATAATCATCGAAACTAAAATTATAATTCCTATGGTTAAATACAATGCCATTGCAATTTTAAACACAAAATGTACACTGTTATTACTCAGTAATTTATGATGTAACAAACTGATGCTTAGAAAATGGATTTGCACGCAACTACATACCTAGTACAAATCCTTACCAGTCCCATTAGTAAAGAAGAATATAAGAGATGAATCTGGTTGATTGGTTTTCAGTACATGTATTTTGTGCTTTTCAGTGCAGATTGGGATTGTTTGATTAATAACGAGACAAGCAAGCAAAAGACAAGCTTGAACAGCAGCCACTTTCTTTTATAACTGACAATCCCACATATTATGCATTTTATGCCAAAGAGGAGCAAAAATGCAATACACTGGAACAATATTCCTGCATTTCACATTCCTCATGTCAAGATAATATATACACCATGTCTGTTAAAAAGTCAGAGATTTACAAATCACAGGAGAGACTATAACATCAGCACAAAATCCTGTTAAACAGCAATTATAATAATGAATTATCATGCTTCAGTATGATAATCAATTTCTTTTGTTGAATGTAAAGAAAAATAACAACCAAAAATGCAGTTGAATTATTTGCATTCAATTATTTCAAATCATTCTTCACTAAGGAGCAAAAAAATGCATGATGCTAGGAGATCAGTGTATTTCCCCCACCTCTATAAAATGTAAAGCACAGGGTTGGGTGGGGGAGAGACTCTAAAGCACTTCCCTATCCATCGGGTCACATACTTTCTCCTGCTTTATTCAAATTGGAGTAGAGAAGCCTTTGCCAAATTCACCCCTACCAATCATGCTGGTTTATAATGTCCAGCACCTTAGGCAACACAAGTGGCTTGGGGCAATCGGAGTTGAGGTAAATCACAACTGCAGGACACTACATTGGAGCCAACCCTCATCCAAGGATATGCTTATGTAGGACAATAGAGACATTTGTGCATTTGGTACAGCCTACCATATAGCACAGTACAGATAAGAAATTGCTTAGTGCGTATTTTTCTAATACAGATGCTTATCTTACTATGATTTCATCTGTATCTCAATATGGAGTGTTTGACACCTACCTCATAATGAATATTCTCTTCGTACTTTGAGTCTCTTCATTCCTATAAAGTATATATTGCCTGTATTTGGCAGTAGGAGGGGGCCTTTCACCTTGGGAGCATTGCTAGTGTGTCCTTTGTGTGACTGACCAGGTTCTGTTTCTATTTTGGAGACTGATTATTGTGACTGTGCTCTTGATTGAGTAGACGGACAAACTGGGATGAACCTTACTATAAAAACAGCTGAGGGAGCTGTGGTACTCATGTGTTTTCTCTCCAACACTTATCAAGTGCAGTTTAGCTTCTAGAGTGACTTTGGTCCATTAGATATACCCATTCTACTCCCTTCTGAGGTAAGCAATATTATGTAAAACAGAGAAAAAAAGAGGGAAGTAGTGAGCAAATTAAACCAGGAGATAAGAGAAAAAATAGGAAAAATTAAGTAATATAATTTATATCACCACCATTATCTATACCTCTCCTTATAATCCTGCCTTTGCAAATTATCCTTCCTTCCATCACATCCTGCCATTAATAAACAAAAGACAATGTATGAATCAAACTTCTCACTTCTCTTATCCATTTCAACCAGTCAAATTCTTCTCCTTCTCCTTCCTCTTCATCTATTCACCCTTTGTTCATATATTTTCCAAGTCAATCTTTATTCACTTTATATGACCAAAACACCTCCACATACTTCATATTCATTCAGCACCCATTCATTCTTGACCTTCTTTGTTATATCACACACACTTAAGTATTAAATATCACACTCATTCCCATTGCATTTAATTCACTTCTGTTTCTTCTGGCCTACTTAACTCTCACTTCTACATGAGAAACTGGGCTGAAGCATGGTCCCAAACAGAGCTATTTTTGTTTCTAATAACATGTATTCCTCATAACATGCTACTTTCTAGCAGTAATCTCCCAACTTTAGTACATGTTCTAATAAGATACACATATTCATCAATTTGCTCTTTTTCGTTTGCTATTTATGTATAATTTGCAATCATTCAACCATTTTCCATTAATCTAACATTCACTACAAAGCATTTAAACTTTTAGTCAACAACACAGCATAGTGTACGTACAAAGGTAAACCACATTAGTGTTCCATATGTAGACATTGTATTCTTTGTACACTTATCTATAAATATATTAAACAACGAAAGGGAGATCACACATCCTTTTCCTATTCTCTGTTCAGCACTGAACCATTTGCTAAGCATTCTAATCTCACACATGCTTTATTTCAGCATACACTACTCTTACTGAATTCTTCAGCTTTCAACTCCATATTCTTGCAAAAATTCCATAGTTCACGTTATCACATAGTTTCTTTAAATCAACGAACATGTGATAAACTTTCTTTCTCACATGCATACATTTTTCAGTGACCTGGAGAACAAATATCTGGTTTGCACGTTCCCTGCCTGGCATAAACCCACATTGTACTTAATACATTTTTGCTCATTGCCACCTCTCAAACCCTTTCAATCAAAATTCTGCCAAAAATTTTCCCAGGCACAACTAACTAAGCCCCTTGTAGTTTTTGCATTCACTTGCTACCTTTCCTTTTGTATAAAAGAGTAACAGCATTTTCCCAATCATTAGGCATAGATGCAGTCTTCAAATAGATATTCATATACCGTATATTTAACGAGTCTTACAGCCACTCTATAAGCATATTTAATATTTTTCTGGTTTCAC